TTATAAGCACTAGGCATTGATGCATTATATGCAGACTTCAACTTCATATGTTGACTCACTGATGTTTGACTTCCCAAGGTTATTGAGATCTAGCGACGCTGAAAGTAATAATAAAGTGGTAATTTGAATTAGTAATTATACAATTATATGTAAACAAGAAACAACGAAAACAAATTCAAAATCATCTGTTTAACATTGTGTCAAGTAATAATTACAGATTGGAAGTAATAGTAATGAAGCATTTAAACCACAAAACAATTGAAATAGTCATTCACCACATAAAGCAAATGCTCACTTTTACAATTTTTTTTCTTATCGGGCTTTATAATTCCAATTAGATACATTTATTCATAATGCTTGTAACAGTTGTGATCATTAAAATTGACATGAACTAAAAGATAATAATGTTTGTAATAGCAGTGATTAAAGGTCATGTGAGTGTCTATGCAGTTATTTAAATAAGTTTAAAAGAATTATGCTTATTCATGTGGTCTAAAAGCAATACATTTTGTCATATTTAGAAGTATTTGAATTATTGTACGAACTAGGAATCCCAGAAATAATGCAATTTGATAATGAAGAAGTAGGTGAGCACAAGCGAACGTATTGTATTTGAAATTCGAAATCAGACAGCCATCAAGCACAAAAGAATCATTAGTTCATACAAACACCACATTTTTTCGATACAGAATTTAGTTGAAAATATAAATGTGTAGCGTGGCGTCGAGTCAAGGTAGACTATGAACACCGCTACCAAGAAACACGTGCCAAATAAATCAGAAGGCGAAGGTTGGACGTAACCAAAGAAACCCATAAAATCTTCGAGAAGCCAAATACCAGAAGGCAAGTAATGGACCAAGTCGAGTTATATTTGCTGGCGATCTCGTGGCATCGAAAGGATACCGAGATCGTGCCAGGATACAAGCTTGGTTACAGAACGTAACCGAATTCGCGCGAAGTCACAATCAAAAGTGTGAGAATAAGAATGGAAGCACAAAATAGCTGTTATTAGCACAGTCAAACAAAAGCATATTAAAACAGTCACTGGTACACTTGGTTATAATAATAAGTGTTTTTATTAAACCAGTCGTGTTCTCGTGATAAACGTGAGTCACTACAAATGAATCATCCCCAAACTGTGTGAATAAGATTAAGAGTTTAAAATAAAAGCCGATACTGCAATTTATACTACGAATAATAATGAAAGTTCATGTGCAAATTATGTTTGCACTTCATTGCATCGAAACGATATTGAGATCAATATCTGAGAAACTGTTTAAGTTGAACTTATCCTTTTTGAATCTTTTAAAAGAAAATTCGTGTCCTTTTCAACAAGATTGAACTTTAGAAATCATTTTGAAATGTGAAAAACATCTAAACACAATCTTACTAAGAACACTTAGTCACCAAATTTACGGATGTATAAGACCATGTCTACCAAACTTCGTTGGGATTTATAGAGTCGTTATTTAACGTCCATTCAGGCCGTTGGAGAAATCAGATGAAGATTATTTGTGGATTAGGATAACTGTTTCTCAGTGTTTCGTTCATTGTTTTTTGTCATATTTACTAAAATAACGTAAATGAGTCTTTTTACTCTGCTTCAGTTTCACCACCTCCTAAGGCCCATTTACCTTTGAAAACTAACCCACATCATAATTTCGAGGGAACTGAATTAGCGTTATTGATCTTAACGATTTGGGAGATCAACTAAAAGGCTCAAAGTTCATCATAATAATTTTGTTTTACAAGGTTTGACTTTTTTAAGAACGGTATCTATTGTGTGTGATAATCAGAAAGAAACAAACCCCATTATTTACATTTGCATTTTTTCTAGGACACTATATTATTTCTATGTTTTTACAATCAGTAATAATGCAGTGACAATTATTAAATGTATTAAGTGAAGTCAAATGACATTTGTTTATATTGTATTTGCGTAGAATACCTAAGTCATCTGGCTTGTCGGTGCTTAAATTTTTATATCCACTTTTATATAATGGTGCTAAAATATGTTTATTTTCATAATTATTGTACAATAGATATTTTGGGATATGCATTTGACGAATTGATTATAATTGAAAGATAAATATGTAAAATAAATTGATATAAATTAAAACATGATTAGTGGCGATTTACATTGTGGTGGAATAACAAGTCTGTTTAGATTTATTGACCTGTTGAAAATTCCAATATACTTTCTACCAGTTGTGTTACTGTCTATTTTCACACAGATGTTTCTTGATTACTACTTATTGAATCTTGTATTTGTTTAATATGTCAAGTATTATTTTTCGGACTAGTTTCTTTACGGATTGTTTTCGTCAACTTTATCCCTAATGTGAAAATTATACTTTCTAAGTAAAAAAAATATTTAAACAGGTAGTTAAATAGCCTCACAACATGACTGCTGTTCGTGTTGTTAGACATTTAGTTATTGATAGTTAGTGTTTTATCGGTTAGTAATAACTCAAATTATCAACATGAAAATGTTAATTTAGTTTAAATTAACATAGAAATATGAGTTACACTCAGTACAAATTATTTTTAATTTTACCAAGTATGAAAAGGTGTTTTCATATTGGAAGTTGAATTCCAATTTAGTGCCATACCAAATGATAGATACTTGGGTTATGTATCTAAATAACGATTATTATTTCATATAATCCCTACTAAACTAAGTGATTATTGTACTCATATTAAACCTAAGTTTTTAAATATTTGTAGGCTTCAAGTTTTTCTCTACTTATATATTATATTATTACATTTCCTCTATGTAAACTGTGGTCAATTGATTAGTATTTATTTTAAATACATCATATTCTAATCTTTTCTAAGTATAGTTCCTTGATATATTTTGAGTGTTAAACTAATGTATTTAGATAGAATACCAAATGTAGTTTTATGTAATGCATTGTAACTTGGGTCAATATACATTTATTCCGAATTTCTCATTGTGGTTATTAACTGAGTTTCAACCAGTAGGTCAAAATATATAAAATTTACTCCACCTAGTTCAGCCTGAACAGATAAGTAACATCACATAAAAGTGTGAGTACATAAGCACACTTTTTATGAGACCGAGTTTCATTTGATACTAATATGTGCCTCATTTACTTAGCAAGTAAACTAATGTTTACATAAAATTCTTGAAACAACTGTCTGCAATCTAACATCTCTTCCCAAATACATTTAGGCACGTGAATCCAAAAATTTTTTATTCAAAAGTATCCGTCAGAATAATATGTATTTCATGGACATTTAAATTTAGCTCCAGTATTTTGTGCTTTACGTAGGAATATTTAATTTTCCATCACTCAAAACATAGGCCTAACTGCTACCTATTTGATTAACGGAGTCCAAGTGGTAAGAAGTCACCGTGTTTACATTTGCTTACAACGTTATATATTAGCATAGTTTCCTAATTATCTGCTCTTTCAATCAATACTCCCATAGATCTTTAGGAAATTTCTTTTAGAGAATACTAATGGATCGCAATATGATGCTTCCATTTATCGAAGTTAGTCACTAGTCTAAACTTACATTATTACCTCCCTTACGAACTAAACTAAATTTTTTGTCACTATTGTACTAGCTGATTATCTCATACACTATTCGTGAAGCGAATTTATGTAGAATATGTTATGTCATCGTTCAAAATTTTAGGGTCTTATTTCAAACACGTAATGCAGCTATTTATACTAATCGTGGTATGGAAACTCTGAAATTAGAAGATTCTTTGTCACCAAGAAAGAGTGATTTAACATCAGCACTGTTACCACGTCCATTGCAATAATGATTGGTCTTGAAAATACTATCTGGTCGTCCTGACAATTTGGACCGATGTATACATGCTTCAGGCTCTATTTTGTACATGAATGACTGGTCTACAAAAAATAGCCAATCGGCAAACATACTTCAAACAATACGTACTTGGTTAAATGATGCCCTGAGAATTTTTCACAACACACTTCTGAAGGCTTCGACCAAATATCTAACCAATTCACACGAACTGACTGATAATTATCCGTTACATACTATTTGCGGTAGAATAAGTAACATTATTGACCAGCAAAACTTAGCGAATTGTTTTGAAAGATCTTTACGATCTAAGACTGTTTAACTTCTGAACGAAACATAATCAGAATTTTCGAATACGATACACACGAAATTTTGAGAAGTCATTTAAGTGTTGTCAAATCTCGTTTAAGGGAAGGTTGCGTCTAAAAAGGATTTATTATTGAAGACCAAACTGGAGGAAAGAAGCCTAGGTGACATCCACTCTTAAAATTACCAAGTGTTTTATAACCGTAGGATAGAAAAGCACATCAATGAGGCACAAAATATGCGATTTTAAATTGTCTATTATATCATGTACTTACGTGTGTTTAGGTAATGAATTAAAAAGACAAAGTTTATCAAAATTATATGATATATTGGCCTAAAACAGTTTGAACAATCTGATCGCACATTAAGATATTAATACGGGAGTCACACTAGACAAATGGGGATGTAAGAGCTCTAATTTGTTGTTATCCAAATCTATCAAGCGGACTGATGGTTTTAAATATCTATGGGAACATTTTCCTTCATTCGATATTTTAGAAGGGCACTGTAAGTAGTATCAGTTTTGTGATCATACGTTTCAAGAGATGCAACTCTCATCATCAATCAATAAGCTCTACTTCTAGGGTGACAGTCGATCCCGAACCCAGTTAGAGGGTTGGGCATAGGGTCAGCAACCACATTCCATAAAAAACAAACTTGCTAAGAAAACGCTATTACATTGACACTGAGTCATTATTCATGATATTACGTCGAGTTTTCTGCCCTGAAGTGGTTTCCTCGGAAACAACACTTCTTCCCACACAGAAAAAACCCCACCTACGATCATTAAGACCAACGACAGAAATTCACCCTAATATTCTTTGAACCGTAACCGTTGGCTACAAAATCTTAATACTGATATTATTTTACAACTGTTTTAAAACAAAATGATGTTTAATTACGTTCACTACATTTTAATACTCGCTTACAAATTTTTTCTCATTTAAGGCTAGTTTACTTGCGACTACTAGTCTTTTTCCGCAATCAAAAATAAACGACTAACCAGTATAAATTGTAAAAGGATCGTAAGTCCCTAAAAGTGTTGTGGGAATCGCAAGCGTCATATCACAAGAATATTGAATGAAAAAATTGGAATAAATCAAAAATATGATAAGAAGTCAAGACAACTTTTACTGGATGACATGAACTGGTGAAGAATTGTTTATCATAGAACATTCTGCAATTTGAAGATGAGTGTTTTTGAATATGTAGTTTCAGGTCTAGAAAAACATGAATACTATAAACACAACACCAATCAACAAATCGTCACAGTAAAAATACAAGAGAATAAGTTAGGGCAATGACGCTGTGGAAAGTATTATGAGAGAAAACAATCGGGAATTAAACATAATTTCACTAAGGAATTAAAGTAATGTATTATTTAGGATCTGTTAGCTGATGGACCACTTGAAGTAGCCTGACGTGTTGCAAACAATCCGGCTTCCAGTGCACTGTTTCTTATTAACGGATCTGACACTACACCACTAGCGAATTCTTCTTTAGCCTTCCCAAAACTAGCACCCGTACTGCGATAGATGCGATGTACCTAAACAACAAAAATTAAACACAAATTAATAAATCTCAACAAAAAGGAAGTATACTTAGATTCTGAAGAAGAACAGTTAACTGGTGGTAAAATTCTTCCTTGGTCGCATCCGGGCTGCAATCTGTCGAGGCATAGGCGGAGATGACGAAAAGACATCGTTTCTCACACCAATTTCTCCTCACTTTGATGGAACTTTCTAAACTAACAGCACATAACCGACTGTTAATGAGGATCCAATCGATTAGTGCTGCCTCAGCTCTAGCGCTTAGTGCGACACTGTTGGGATATTCAGGAAAATATCCCAAAAACTATTCTATTAAGTCTAATGCTATTCTTGGACTTGAGATGGTATCATTTTCCTATTGGTCAATATTTATTTCACGTGTCATTTTCCTACTGGTCAATACTTATTTCACGTGTCAAATGTTATTTTCTGTTTTATGGTGCGGTGTGGTCTACTTCTTTGGTATATAAACAGAGTATGCTTGAAATATAACGATTCATATCTCAGAGGCTGAGACTTGCGTTCTGGACTCAACTGGCTGAGCTAGACAGGGAAGCAGGACCAGTCAGGACTCTAGGTCGGTCTTACGTGTTTTATGCGTCTCTGTTCCGATCGATAATACACTGCACGTCTAATCTGTAGTCCACAAGTTATAATAGACACCAACACCAGACGAAGATGCCACAGGGTCCCCGGATAAACGCACGTAAAACAAGCCTTTTGAAGAGACAGATGGAGAGCGAATTTGTAGTATTTCGCCCGAGTCTTGAATACTGGTCTCGAATAGATAACAGACGTCGATATTACGACTTTCTAAAGATGTAGTCAGCCCTATCTGTTGTCCGATCTGCATTAGTGTGCGAACGTTGAAGGGAGCCAGTTTGAATGGTACGCGTGGTTTCAGAAAGACTGTTTCAGTATTCGTATTTGGTAGACGCATTCAACTTCCGACCAGAAAGTGACTCGAGATCATTTGGATAGAACAGAGTTTCCACCATGGGCGAGCTGCTCTATAAGTTGGAAAATGGGGATACATGAAGTGAGAACAGAGGTAGATAATTGACGTAGTTTATAAAAAAAGTGATAATAATAACAGTAAGTGTTATCAAGTGAATGTGAATTGTATGAATTCTAATTGAAGCGAGCATAGTATTTCGTGAAGTAATTGTCATCTCATTACAATTGTGTGAGGGTTTAGATTCCCTTCTTCAGTCGGGAACAACAATCGTAGTGTTTCTTGACATCTGGGCTGCCTTCGATTCGTTGGACAGGACTGCCCTCTGGGAATGTCTATTGAAGGGTGTGCCTGAGAAGTTTATTAACATCGTAGTGGGTTGTCATGACACTGCATAAGAAATAGTGCGTTAAGACCCTAATTTGGTGCAATAACTTAAAAGGCTAACCTTGAAAGAGTGAAAGTTTTTCTATGACCTATAAAGTAAACAGATATTTATATTTGTAGAAATGAAACAATAACATGACTAAGGAGCAATAGCACCAGCCTATGTTTAGTTAATGAGCTTTTTATGCCCTTATATTACTGAGTAAAGAGAAAAAACATCAATAATGAAACTATTAAGTGTGAGTATAGAGCTTCCACTCTAATGAATTTCTGGTGATGTTGAACAGCATATAGACACTAAGAACTGAAGTAGTATTTAAATGTTACTACAAAATTCCTATAGAATGAGGTGAGAGTTTCTTAATCATGATTACAGCATTTATGTGTTTTATACAGGATGAAATATTGATAGCGCCAAAATTGAATGATAACATATACCTGATAGCAAATACATAACAAAGCGAAGAAAAACTCACATGTATAAAATACCAAACCGATATTGCCGTGACGGCTGTGAATATGGATGCTACCAGCAATGACATAACTCCAATTACCGGGCTAGATCTGACCACTGCCAAACCAGTGATCCATCCACTGGAAAATAGAATAATTGGTAAACAACGAAACCGAGCATCATATTTATTATAATGTGATACATACTGGAAAATATTTGGACTAAATAGTGTGTGGAGTTAATGAAATATGGATACTACTAGAAAGAATGGATCTATGGACTTATCACTGTCTATTAACTCCGCCCATAGGGGGTTGTAAGTCTGAAATATTACAGCAGTGACGTGTGGTGTTCTAAATTTGATACTGATACACGGTATGCAACCCTCTGACCATCCAAATGACTACTTTAGAAAGAAAAAAAATAGCGAGTGAGAAAGTGTATTAGACTAGCGAATGAAATGCACAAATATTCATTTACATTTATACCACTCTATCCCGAAGAAATTGACCCACTGACCAGAGAATGAAATGTACTTGGCCTTTATGTCACATCTGATTGCCATCGATTGACCTTTTCGTTAGGCTCAGTCAGTCAGCTACAACGTAGAACCAGGCACATATATGCAAAGGTCCAAGTTGCCATACCTCATAAGCACAACAAGATGAACACTGAATTCATAGAAGTAATTAATTCAATGGCAGTAATATATGAAAGGAAGATTGCATATAAGGATATAGTACAGAAAGAAAAAATTAGTTCGTAGAAAGGAATGTATGAAGCGATTTTAATCTCATAGTTTAAGGGAAGACAGGAAGTGCATACACCTACGCCATTGTGACCGATTCTGAGCCATGTCACCCCGAGTCTCAAACCATTGGTTACGATAGTCACGTGGACCCCAACCAAGTAGTCTGCATCTACCAACATGGCAAAGGCCAGAAGTTAGTGACTTTAAGGACTGATGCCACGCTCAGGTTTGGCCACTTCCTTCCAACCATCCCCAACACTAGTCAGCATTGCGCGTCGTGGCAATCGGTGCTCAGGCATACGTAACAAGTGGCCCAACCATCTCAGTCGATGAAGATTCATAACCTCATCAACTGATTTACCATCATTCCCTAATACCCTGCGTCTAACCTCACTATTACTTACCCGGTGATCCCAGCAGATGCCAGCAACATTCCTAGGGCATCTGTGGTCAAATACTAGTAGCTTAGGGGTATCTTCTACCATTAATGGCCACATTTCGTAGCAGTAAAGTAGGACAGAACGAACTGCCGTCCCTTAATTGGTAGACGGATATCTCGCCTTCGCCATAGGTGACGTAAGTTGGCAAAAGCCAAACGAGCTTCTTGTCAAGTAGCTGAAGGCCAGCTGAACTGCTCCTTAGTGTTCCACCCATCTTTCTAAACGTCTGGGCCTAGAGCAGATAATTGTTGTCTTTTTCTGAGATCGCCTCACTTACACTTGACTTATTAATTCCAGTCTCTTTTATTAGTCTGTAGAGCTGTCTTGTGTTACCTACAGCCATCGCCTTTTCCATCTCTTTTACTTACGTTGCCCACCACTGCTCACGGTCGTTCCTTAGACTTTTGCCTAACCTAGATCTGATTTGTTTACGCACTTCATCGTGTTCAGAGTCTGATGGGATGAGTTTACGAGAATAGACTTGAAGAAATCCATCGGTTTTTTGTAACTCTTTAGTCACTGCTGTTTCCACAACTGTTCGCATATCTTTCTAAGTAGCATATGGGTCGGCTTCGATTTCAGAGCTACCTAAGTATGACCTCAGTTGTTCATGGAGTCTACTTTCAGCTTTCTCGTCACTCGGTTCAAATCTAGTGGGTCTTTTTAGTGTGGTTTTCCTGCGTCCAGCGAGGTGCAAGCAAATGTATGTTTGTATTATAGCATGATCGGAGCCCAAACAGGTATTCCAGAATGAGCGTCAGTCTTCTATCGAGTCTCTCCAACGATGACTGATAGCAATATAGTTTATTTGAGTCCATCGTTGGTTTGGTGCAGGAGATCGCCATGTTAGACGATGTCTCTCCTTACGCTTAAAATTGACCCCCAAATGCCCTGGTACGGCCGAGAGTGAGGGGGCCGCCCTCCCTCTCGAAATGCTCTCACATGGCCATGCGCACACAGCCACTGCCAGGGAACTCTTACTCACTGCCATCTCGTGGCGGGGGTGTTGTTTGCGAAATTGAGAGAACGAAAAACGAATGTCCGGCGATTTAACCTGGCCGGTGGACACGGTGAGTCTACCTACGGAAGTTGGGAAACCCTGATTCCAAACCAATAGTGCACATAAACTTCAGTATCCTGAGGAAACAAATGGCGTATGAACCAATTGTTAGTCACCGGCTACCATGGGACGGCATCTCCTCACGATACTCCATTGCCTTGTGGGTCAGACCTTTAGGTCAAAGGCTCGGGGTGTGTCCCCCTAAGAAAACCACCTGATTCGGTTAAAATGAAATGACAATGATTATTGAATATAAAACTCGCACACCTATTACAATTCAAATAACCCATACCCATTTGATAGTACTCACTTTTAGTTTTATTTTTTTTGTACTACGTCACTTATCCACTCTCCATTCCCACCTTGCATATCCTTACTTTTCAACTTATAAAGCAGCTCGCCCATGGTGGAAACTCTGTTCTATCCAAATGATCTCGAGTCACTTTCTGGTCGGAAGTTGAATGCGTCTACCAAATACGAATACTGAAACAGTCTTTCTGAAACCACGCGTACCATTCAAACTGGCTCCCTTCAACGTTCGCACACTAATGCAGATCGGACAACAGATAGGGCTGACTACGTCTTTAGGAAGTTTGTGCATCTAGGTAGCTACATAAGTGCTGGTGGTGGCGTGAGTGATGAGATCAATTCACGTATAGTGAAAGCCAGAGCGGATTATGCCAATCTGAGCCATCTTTGGCGCCTTCGTGATGTTAGTCTGGTTGTAAAAGGTCGGATCTACAACGCATCGGTGAGAGCAACTTTACTTTATCCTTGTGAAACCTGGCCTCTCAGAGTTGAGGATGCTAGACAACTCTCTGTGTTTGACCATCGTTGTCTCCGAAGGATTGGTGATATCCAGTGGCAACACCATGTTAGTAATGCAGAGATTCGGCATCGTGTGTTTGGACGCAGAGATGATAATCCAACTGGTGTCAATATCTTGAAACATCGACTTCGGTGGCTTGGACATGTTCTACGAATGTCGTCTCAGAGAATTCCTCGTCGCGCATTATTTGCCGACATTGGGACTGGTTGGAAAGAGCAGAGAGGTGGTTAGCGTATGATCTGGTGTCGTGTTATGAATGAAGGCTGTACAGGACTGGCTTCTGTCGGTCCTTCACGACTCCCTGGTTGGGGTCCGAGAGATGGTGTAACACAGTGGCTAGAGAAGTTATCAGATATGGCACAGAATAGAAGCCAGTGGCAATCCTGCTGTGACTTTTCTTTACTTGCTTCATAAAAATCGGTCGTAACTTTCTTAACTGAAAGAATTCTTTCTGGTTGTACCTTTCCGTTTCCCCCAATATTATTATTTCACTACCATACGCTAATCTGTGGTCGTTATTGTACTGTTTTTCTTTCTATACGCACCTTACATTCTTTATCTCTTCCCATTTTCATTGTTATTGTGTGACGCATATGTATCTGGTGCCTCCTTGTACCAATATTTATGTGTTCAAATAAATAAGTAAATAAATAAAGAATCGGTACTCTATATCAATTATTTACGCAACTGTAACAGGGAAAGTGGTGTGGTTTTAACGAGTGTAAATAATATTTTAATTATTCAATATAAGTATTAGAAGACTCACCAGGATCCCCAATTTATGATACCGATTGACTGTATGATCATAACCAAAATTTGGACACCAAAAACAATGAAAAATATGAAGAAATTGATTGAGCTGTTGCTTCTATGTGAATTAAATGAGGAAAAAATTACCGATTTCAATTTCTCTGTGAAATATTATTTGGTTATAGAAAATTAAAAGTAGTAGAAACGCTTATCCAATGGATAGAAATTTATTGTTAAACATACCTTTTCATTTAGTGTAGACGATCATACTTAATACGTTTCTATCAAACTAAAGATAGTAAAGAAAATAAAAATACAGCCAGTAGTAATATCATATCAATTAGCACCTATCCCGATTTAGTTAGTATTGAACGACAGTTGGAGCAATGCCAATCTTTCTAGTGTAGTGATTTCAAACACTTTGGAAAATATAATGAAATCATTGTGATAGGTACGGCTTTATTATGTTTGAACGTGATGGCCTTTTTGGTTTAATGGTCCATAAATAACCTATTGTTGTGAAGCGATAAAATCTTTGAGATCTACCGAAGTACCAAAGGATTTAGAAAGGGCTATTCATAAGTAACTTTGCTTATACTTAACGAACGTGCCCAAGATCATTTCAATTAACTGATCTAAGTAAACATTAGAAACATCTAACCACTCTCATCTAACTACCATTATGAAATACCACAAAACTTTCTTGTTACGACTAACATAATTAGACATTTGTGAAATGCATTAACTTGGTACCCAATTCAAAAAAGGCGAAACAGTAGAGTCAATTTATGCGACTAATAATCCTACATCTTCCCATTAAAAACGACAACCAATCATGATTTCTAACAAATAACCTGAACATTTTCATACACTGTACAGCTACCAAGTAACACCCAACTTTAAGCTGTTAAGTTCTAGCTTTAATAACTGGCTAACTTTAAGATGGATCAATTGAGATGATGTTTGAGATGTAGCGCATCTCCATTTGAGAATGACATCACGTTATTCGGAACTTTCATCAAATACTCAGACAATGCTTAGTGAATGTTAGTGATTGACGACTACCTCTCGAAATGTATTAATGAGTCAGTCAGTCAGTAACAACGTAGAACTTCGTACGTACGTACATCAATTCGAGTTGCCACACCACATTTGTACAGTGATGCAGTGGTCGATTCAAATCCCGTAGTGATAGATGTAAAATTATAAGCTGTAATCAAAAAAATTAGGGTTTGAAGATGTTACTCAAGGAGGATAATCCAGTGAAATAAATTTGGAAAAAGAGGAAAAAAGGGACATGAAGAATTCAGAAGATTAGAATTTGGGAGAACACAAAAAGTGGATGCACCTGCGCCATTGCAAACGATTTTGAGCCATGTCATTCAAGGTCTCTAACCATCGGTTGCTATCATCACGCAGTCCCCAACCAGGTAGTTTACACCTATCAACATGGCTCAGTCCACTTGTCAGTGACTTCATGGACTTGTGCCATGTTTTGGTCTGGCCGCCCCTAGCTTTCTTCCAACCTACTCCTATACAACAAAACATTGCACATCAAGGCAGTCGGTCGTTGGGCATACGTAACACGTGTCCCAGCCATCTCAACTGATGAAGTTTCAATACTTCATCAATGGATTTGCCATCCTTACCTAGTACACGTTTCCTAACAACTGCGTTACTTACTCGATGGTCCCAGGATATACGAGCAATATTTCGAAGACACCTATGATCAAATACTAGTAACCTACGAATATCCTCTACTCTTACCGGTCATGTTTCACTGCCATAAAGTAGGACGGAACCAACTGCTGCACAGTAAACACGTCCCTTGGTTGATAGACAGATATCTCGCCTACGCCATAAATGACGCAAGTTGGCGAAAGATAGCCGAGCCTTCTGTATCCATGCTGAGATTTCGTCACACACCAGACCACAAGGGCTGATGAGACTTTCAAGATAAGTGAAGCGATCGACACGCTCAATTACTTCACTCCCTATCATTAGTTCGGGTTTCAATGCAACCCAATCCTGAAGCAACATTTTGCATTTCGAGGGGGAGAATCGCATCCCGAACATGCTTGCATTGTTGCTTAGAGTGGTCAGAAGACTCTGCATTTTGTCAGCGTCTTCACCAAATAGAACTATGTCGTCAGCATATTCCAAGTCAACAAGTGAATCTCCCGGTAGAAGTTCAACCCCTGGAAATCTAGACGAGGAAAGTGTTATCTCTAAAAGTACGTCGACGACAAAGTTGAACAAGAATGGAGAGAGTGGACAGCCTCGACGAACACCACTTGAGGTAATCAATTCTGATGACAGTTCGCCATAAGCTCTCACTCTACCGGTTGTGTTCGAGTAGAGAGCCTTTACAAGGTTAATGTACTTCTTTGGTACTCCTTTAAGTGAAAAACACTGCCATAGAACCTCACGATCAACAGAGTCGAATGCCGCCTTAAGGTCGAGAAATACTGCCATTGTGGGGCGTCTGAATGTGTGTCTGTGTTCTAGAACCTGACGTAGTGCAAATATCTGGTCTATACAACCACGTCCAGGTCGAAAACCAGCCTGGTTTTCTCTAATCTGCTCTTCACGAGCTTTGGTTAGGCGTCGAAGTATTATTGAAGTTAATATTTTAGACACTATATTAGTCAAACTGATTCCTCTGTGATTGTCACAAGAGGACTTTTGTCCTTTCCTAAAAACTGGCACAATCAGTGATTGATACCAGTCAGATGGGATTGCATCCAGTTCCCAAATTCTACCTAAGACCTCAGTTGATCTCACTGCTAATACTGAACCACCATCCTTAAAAATCTCAGGAGTAAACCTGTCAGGGCCTGCTGCTCTCCCTCGCTTCAGATTTCCTATGGCTTTTTTAACTTCGTAAAGAGACGGAGGACCTACATTAACTTGAATTCAGGTTGGCTGGAGATCGTGGGAAACCGAAGTGTGGCTGAAGGCTAGTTGAACTGATCCCTAAAGTGTTCTGCCAATCGATCCAATCTCCTGGATTGAGAATGTATAATATGTCCATCTTTCTCTGAGATTGTTTCGAGAACAGTCGGGTTCCTAATACCGGTTTCCTTAACAAGTTTGAACAATTGTCTGCTATTACCTATTGCCGCTGCCTTTTCCATCTCTCTTGCTTTCGCTACCCACCACTGTTCACGATCATTGCGTAGACTTCTTGTCAGCTTGCGCTTAAGCTGACTCCACTCTTCAATATGTTCAGAGCCAGGTGGAATGAGTTTCCGAGCATCTAAAAGTGCGGTAGATGCTGCTCAGATCCAGTGTTTCTCCCTAACCTTACGGGTTACCGTACTAGCAGATATCACTGCTGTTTCCACAGTTTTCCGGATATCGTTCCATGCTGCATCGGGGTGGCCATCACATACATGGCTGCCTAACTGTTTTCCTAGTTGTTCCTGAAATATACTCTTAGCTTGACTATCATTAAGTAGGGCCCTAAGAGGCTTCCTTGCAGCGTCTTTCCTACGTCCAGTAAGACGCAGACTAATACGCGCTCGTACTAGAGCATGATCTGAATCTAAGCATGTGCTCCAGAATGAGCGACAGTCTTCTATCGAGCCCCTCCAGCGGTGGCTGATAGCGATGTGATCTATTCGGGTCCAACGTTGGGACGAATTAGGGGGTCGCCATGTTAAAAGATGTTTTTCCTTATGTTTAAAGTTAGTATTTGTAAGGAACAGGCGGTTATCTGAACATAGCTGCAACAGACAGTCGCCGTTATCTGTTCTTTGAGCCACGATGCTATCAGATCCACCTAGGTGTCTTTCCCTATCGCTTAGTTTACCTACTTGAACATTAAAGTCACCAGCCACTATTACTACATCAGAGCGCCTAGCTTATCGGAAGTCGGAAAGCTTTCTGTAAAACTAATTTTTTACATCATCTGCGCTGCAGTCAGCGGGAGAATAGGCAGAGACGACAAAGAGGCAACGATGAGTGTCTATCTTTTCGGATCCTTACTGTTCCGTCCAGTCGGACAGCGCACAAACGACTGTCTACTGGGATACAGTCTAAGAGAGCTAGTTCTGCCCTAGGACTCAATACTATACCTACGCCGGAGAGGCCATGGGAAGCAGAATCAGGGCTTTCAGATACACGAAGCGTGAATCGAGTTGGTTCTTTATTTCAACATGGTGAGGTCAAGTGAATGACGCTACTCGGATCCTGTATGCGCGTTTCGGAGACGCAGCACACCTCGGTGGTGCGGGATTCTAAAGTCTTAGCTAAGGAAGCCTGCTGTTCTATTTGGCACAGTGTTCGGACATTATAAGCTCCAACATGAAGTTTAGAGCGTGGTTTCAGGAGACGAGGAATAGCGTTCCGCGTACTCGAATCGTTTGCCCTAGCAGTGCGAGGTGATAAAAGGACGTGAGAAGGGTTAGTCGGGGAGATAAGAGTGGTATTAAGAGGTGTAGGAAGGATTTGAATGTGACCAACTTGGTCTCGTGTGTTGTTACGGGTGTGAGGGCTGGTGTCACTTCGCGGCTGCCCACACCGTGGAAGGGTATTTCTTGAGGAACCTGAAATAGAAGTCGGATTAGTGTTGGTCTTAACGACCTGGGGGCGTGACCGCAGAGCCCAAGGGACAACTGATTGAGGCCGGTCGCGCACGGCCTTTTCGTGGAAGTTTTTTAATGTATCAGCTCTGTCCTTCAAAGGGCCTTACCGCCGGAGACGGAAATCCGTGAGGTAAGGTGAGGTGTGACATTTTTAGGGTCGACCTTTCCTAACTCCGCCCCTCCTTATGGGAAGGCAGCATCGCTGCAGATGCTGGTTGTCTGAGGGAAACACCTTACTGCTGTCACACCCCTCTACAGTCAGCAGTACGACTTCGCCTTCAGACCTTGAGTTTGTGGCTTTTAGTCTTACCGTTTTCCAATCGACCTGCCTGGCATGGTAGAACCTGCAGGAACATATGTTCCTGCCAATATAGCTCGGTTGGGTCATCACTATAGGCAAGCCCGACCACCGCGTCAAGGTAGTAGCTTCGGTCGGGTAAATGTATGGTGAATGAAAACCCAGTGTTATGGGGTACACCCACCTTCTATCAGGCTCTTGATACCCAGCTAGTGGAACATGTGACACATC